AGGACTTCATAAACACATACTGAGACCCTGTTTGGTGTCATATATTCTTTGGACATGTTATACACTTGCTCTCCTTGATTTTTCTGAACTATCTCATAGGTTAGAAATAACTGACCTCACCATACAGTGAGAGACCAGGGGTTCTTAGAGTTGAAGTATTTTTCCCCCAGGGAACAAGGCACACTGGTCTTTGTTTCAATGGGCCATGACTTTGCACTCCACCTACTGGTGCCTTCTCTGTACAATGTGAAGAAGGGTTCCCAGGGCTAGAACTATCTCCTGAAACATGAGATGACAATGGAGCAACAGAGAGAAAGGAAGAACAGGTAAGAAAAAGGCTATGTCCATTTAAAAAAAAGAAGAAAGAAATATCTCCCTCTGCCTGGCAGAACAACATTCATGAAAAAATTCCCACTGAAACTAGCAAGTCCCACAGGCCTGGCTGGGATCTATGCCTTACATGCCACTGTCAGGGAAGTATTTCCATAGGGACCACCTTCATGAGTCTTGCATCTGGAACTTATGAGACCCAGGCAAAAATCCATCGATTTAAGTCCCAGAGGGTCTGAGCAAAGAGCACCAGGCTTATGCTTCCAAGCACAGTTCCCCTTGTTGTGCCTGGCAAGATGCTCCTGTGCTATGATCTGGACAGCCAGTGATTAAAATCTGGGCATTGATCTCCAACTCCATGCAATCCAAGTCTTTCTCCTGTGTTTGTTCTTCAGTGGACACATTTCTTCCAACCATTGCACATGCACTTCAGGCATTTATCTCAGAGAAATGAAGATTTATGTTCACACAAAAATCTGTGCACAAATGTTTATAGCAGCTTTGTCCATAATAGCTAAAAATTGGAAACAACTCAGATGTCCCTCAATGGATAAATGTTTAGACAAAATGTGGCCCATCTATACCATGAAATATTATTCAGTAGTAAGAAAAGAACAGCAACCTGGATGAATCTCTAGATAATCTGCTGAATGAAAAAAGCCAACCCCAGAGGATTCCATTCACACAATCGGTTTGTATTTATATAATTTAAAAGGATTATTTATATTGCTTATATAAAAGGATTCAATTTATATAATTACATATCGTATAATTATTCCATTTATATAATACTGTCAAAGTGACAAAATTACAGAAATGGAGAACGCATTAGTGGTTGCCAAAGGCTGAGCAGGGGTGAGAGTGGAAGCACATTGGGGCGGCTGTAAAAGGGCAACATGAGGGATCCTTGTAGTGACCGAAATGATCTGTATCTTCACAGAGTCAGTGTTAATATGCTGATCATGGTAGTGTACTACAGTTTTGCAGAGTGTTACCTTTGTGGAAAACTAGGTAAAGCGTATATGGGATCTCTCTGTATTATTTCTTACAACTTCATGGGAATCTACAATTATATCAAAATAAAAAGACTCATTTTTCTAAATGGACAAAATATGTGAACAGACTACATGCTGCTTCCCTGAACAGATATTTCATCTAAATATGGCAGTAAGCCCATGAAAAGATGTCCAACTCAGAGAAAAGCTAAGCTGAGGCATAGAAATGAAGATAAAATGAGAAAGACTTGATAAAATCCTAACCACTCCTGGCTCCGGCTAGATGAGGGGCCAGCAAGAGCCCTCGGACTTACCTCGGACAGGTCGATGATGATTTCCCTATGTAGCTTAAGGTAGTTTGAATCGGGTTTTGTCATATATAAAAAGTAAAACTAATTCTAACATAAATCCTCCCTTTCACTTCATTTACACCACTTTTCCCTTATCTCACCCCAAGGTCAGCTGCTGTACTACAAAGTATTTTACAAGTATTCTGAGGAATCTTGGGGGTATAAACGGAATCAGAGATGAGGTCCTTAGAAAGAATTGGCCTAACCTAAGTAGAACATGTTATTTATACAAATTTATACAAATTTTGCAGTATTCTATTTGAGAAAATTTAGGTACATCAACATATAAAACTGAGCATGAGGGTTTGAGGGGTGGAAAGGTTTTCTCCTTGCCTGTCAATAGCCCAGTAAATGAAAGACTGTCACAACTCAGCCAATGAAAAGCTACCACCCTTTAAACTCTACTTGACTCCAGGAACAGCCCCTCACAACACCCTTTCCTCTGAGAGAGTTTTCTTCTCCTTCGTCCGGACTTGCCTATGGATTTGCCATACCTTGCATGTCACGAATTCCAATTCTCTATCCCCAAATAAGCCCATTTTGCTGGCAAAATAACGGACAGTTTTATTTTTAAGGTTAACAGTGCACAATATTGCTGAATAAATCATCAAATACCAACAAAAAAAGGAGAAAGGATGAGGATGGAACAACAAAACAACTGGAGTTGACTTTTAAGAACACCACTAGGGACCCTTGAGAGTACAGTTCATGTACTCAGGAGGGACTTGAACTACTGAGCAATGAGAATAGGGAAGAGCTTGGACAAGAAGGCCAACTTGGGGGCGCTGGGGGGTGGGCAGCAGTGCCAAGGGAAAGCTGTTTGTTTTGCTTTTCTAAAAAACACTTGCCATTGTTGTTGTTCTCCAGTATCGGGAAGGCATAAAGAGGGAAAAATTGAACACGTAGCAATAGGAGTCAGATAAGAGGACGACAGTTGAAGGGGTTTCAAAATGTCAGCAAAGGGGTGAGGTAAGCAAAGATTCCATAAAGAAGGGAGTAACGACATAAGTAAGCAGTTGCAAGTAATGGTCACATGCACAGATACACATGCTGATGGGTCAATAAACCAGCCGGCCCTGATTAGGGAAAGCGTCTGGAGAAGAGTGACGTCACAACCAGAAGGTAAGGGAGCCATGATAAATTACATCACTGAGATGTAGTAGCAAAATCCAGATGATGGGAAACTCCACAGCACCAACAACTTGGTTCCTCCAAAGGATAAACTGCAAGGTGAAAATTGGAGGAGGAATTTAGAGAATAAAAAAGCTTAAAAGATAGATCAATCTATCACAGTGTGTGGACTGGACTGGATCCTCATTGAAACAAGCAAAGGACAAATGTTATGAGACAAGTAGAAAATTGAACACTGGATATTTGACGATATTAATGAAATACATTAAATATTTACATGTGACGCTAGTATTGTGGTTATGCTTTTTAAAAATCCGTTGTTTTAGAAATCATACTGAAATATTTATAGATTTCAGTTGCCTGATATTTGCCTCAAGACAGTAGAAGAGAAGGTATGTGGTTAATGATACTGAAGCCCCAGATTGGTCATGAGATCATTGGCGCTGAGCATTGAGTTCATGAGGCTTCATAGGCTTGATTACATACTTTTTATTTGTTTGAAATTCTCCTTAATTTTTGAAAAGATGCAATTTGGTGTGCAAGAATAGGATTTTCTTCCATATATGGTATTATAGGTGGTCTTTTACAGTTTCTTGACCTAGGTTCAATGGATTTCACGGAACTATGAGGATCATTAAATCAAATCTAGGCAAAGTTGGAGGACGAAGTGATCCACCAAAAGACAAGGACTGAGTAGAACACTTGATACTGCTTGAAATACGACAGGAGACAGATCATTCAAGTTGTTACCCATTAAAGATCAAATTTTAACATAAAGGATAATGAGAAACTAAAGGGGACAGGCGCGGGGGAATGGCAGGTATAAGAGGATCAAACCTGAATGTGGGATATTTATTTGTTGATGAAAAAGAAAAAGTGTGTACGCTGCAAGGAGTGTTAAGATACTGGAGATCTACGGATAGGGTCATTCAAATCTTTACAACCTAATTCTGCAATCTTCTCGTTTATTCCTTTTTCGCGCTTCCCCCCATCCCCGTCTCCGCAAAATCCAAAGTGCCTTAGAGGCAGTGCAAAGACCCTGAGACAAAGAGAGAAGAGTAAGAGGTAATATGAACTGTTTGGAGAAAAAGGATTTAAGAGTGTACATTAAATTTGTCTACCAGCACCGGCCTGTGTGAAGTGGGATATGGAACGCGAGAGACGTGGAGGACAGGGTACTTGGTTAGATTGCCGGGCAGTGACTAGGACATTGAGTTGTGGGAGCTCCACCCTTTTTATTTTCTAGGTTTCATCCTCAGCAATTCCCAAAGCTAAACTGTTTTTCCCAGGTACTTATACCATAAAAGAAAAAAAAAATTTTTTTAAGAGACTGAAGGGAGTAGACGGGTACATTCCGGGGGGGAGGGTCAAGGGTCAAGTGAGAGAGTTTTGCAAGCCATGGAAAGGACTCCCCGCGCGTCCGGGTCCTTATACAGAAGCCGAGAACATCAGATCCAGGGCTGCCAGGGGTGAAGAGGCGGGATGGAGGGAGCTGGCTTCAGCCTTGCTTTGAGAGCCCTCCGTTTTCGACGCCAGCGACTCCTTCCCAAGGGGGGAAAAACAGAGCCTGATTTCACTGAGATGGACGGAACGTTAAGACCGCCTCTCCAAAAACCTAAACTATCCGGCCGCTAACCGTGGCTTGAGAGTCGTCTCCTCCCCTACGGGGTCGCCTGTAGGCGACGCAACGGCACGGGATTACGCGCCGGAGCGCGGCGGGATTCCGACATCTCCAAATCGACGCCCCAAAACCCGGGCTTCCTCCCGCCTGGGGGGGGAGGGTCTAGAGAAAATGTGCACCAATCAGAACGTAGGTGCCGAATACGTTCATTCTCAGGACAATAGGAGGGCGTTGGGGCGGGCCCGAGAGCGCCGATTCGCTCCTGTGGTTTAAACCTCTGCGGCCGGCCGAATAACGGCCGCCTGGGCGCTGGGCTGGTCGTGCGCGTGCGCGAGCGGCGGGACGCTAGCCGACGCGGCGGAGCTGCCGCTAACCTGACTGTGGAGCTCCGTACGGCGGGCGGACTCGGCGGGGCGGGTAAGCGGCACAGGCCAGGAGAGCGGGTGCACGGGCCCCGAGGGCAGCCGGCCCGCTGCTTCGGGGAGGTCGAGTTCTCAGTGGCACGGAATCGGGGTTTCCCTCCCCTGGAGCGCCGTCCCAGGCCTGGACCGTCTTGTTGAACCCAGGTGTGCTGCTTCCTAAGGCGCGTGTGAGCGGTGTTTGCGGTGCCCGAGCCGCTCGAGGTCACCGTGTGCGCCGACTGCCCGTGGGAGCCCCCCTCCGGCGGCGCCCGCCGCATGCCTGCCAGGTGAACCGGGCCGCGGGGCCGGGGGTGGCGGGGCCGGTGCCTGCGAGGGAGCCGATAACCACGCCCGGGCCAGATGGTGCGGACTCCGGTCCTTGTTGGAAAGGGAGGAAAGTCTTCTCATTCTCTCGTTAAACCTTTTGTGAATTTACGGGTGTCACCGCGCAAACAGTCCTTTCCCTGATGGGTTAAGGTAGCGTGCCGAATTGAACCCTGTAATCCTACCTCAGAATGCAAATAAACCATTTTTTTCTGATTTTAAAACTATATAATCTCGTTCTTAGAAATAAATCCAAGCACTGGGTACGTATAAAGAAAAAAGGAATACTCAAAATTCCATCAGCCACAGGTAACCATGCAGAAAAAAAAACCACATTTGGGTTTACTAAAAGTACATTCTTACGAAACTGAATAAATGTTTATATAATTGTGTATTTTGAATATAATCTTTTGATTGTAGACACGCATCATTTTTAATGAACCCATGGTGTTTCTTGCTGTGGCCATACTGTACCAAATATTTAACCAATCCATTAATGATGGAGATTTGTTTTTCCTATTTTTTCATCATCATGAAATAGCATGGTAATTGTTAGTTGTACATTCATATATTTGCATACTTGCCCAGCTTATCTCCTTATAATAATTGATGGAGTGGATTGTGGCTTAGAAGTTACGGTACAGTTTAAATTTGGATTCACAATGCCAAACTGCCCGCTAGAAAAACTGATCTCCCCACACAGAATGTAAAGGTGCTTATTTCTATACACTAACCAGCACTGGGTATTGAAATCTTGACAATCTGAGAGGGGATTTTAGTGTTTTTATTGCATCATAAATGAGATGAAGCATCTTTTTCTGTTATTAGTCATTAATTTTTGGTAAATCATCTGTCTTATCTCTCTTCTGGTGCATGTATCTTTTAATAGCTTTCTAAGAGGAATTTGAATTAGTGATTTCGAACCTGTTGCAAATATTTCCCTGTTTGTCGTCTTTTTGGATTTCAGTTGTCTTTCTTAGGGTATTGTGGTTAAGCTGTATTCTTAACTCCCCAGAGATAGAGGAATTTGTTGTAACTCTAATAGCTTCCTTGTAATGGTTAGAATCTCTGACCCAACCCCTCTATCCCAGTTTAAAATCATCCCTACCACCCTCGAAATCCTTTCACTTACAGCTACTTAAACATGGACCAACCACTCAATCCCTTAAAATTTTTGAAGAGAAGGTGCTGTTGGATGTTTTGATCAGTATCATCAATACTTAGCTACAAAATATAAATTTGCTCTAGCTTCTGTGAAAGTTTCCCCCTAAGTAAAAGAAAAGACTATCAGGTGTTTATATTAAATAGAGAGAAAGAACTGAGTTACCTGTGGACCTTACTAAAGTTTATTTTTTATTATTTGCAAACACCTGTTTTCATATGTTTAAGAAAAAAACCTGGAGTGTGCTGTAATATAAATGCAAGAATATAACATGTTAGTCACTGTGTAGTGTAGTACATGTGCCATAAGAAAATCTCTTTGGTTTTTAGAGTTGGAAATTCCTCTAGCGCAGAGTCCTATTCCATTTCCATCTCTGTAGTTTTTTTTTCCATCTCTGTAGTTTTATACAGCACAAACATTGAAATGAATGGTGTGATCCTTCTCACAATGCACCATTTTACTTATATGTATTTATTTTTATATAATGTATAATATGTATTACACTTGTAACATGCCATATATATAAAATCTCACTTAAACTTCACAGCCTATTGAAATAATTCTTCCATTTTGCCAATGAAGAAAGTAAAATCTAAGCCCTACTTAAAACATTTAGTCCCTACCAGAAACAAAAGCAAAAATAAACAAGCAGGACTACATAAAACTAAAATGCTTTTGTACAACAAAGGAAACTGTCACTAAAACAAAAAGGTGACCTATGGCTTGGGAGAATATATTTGCAGATAATACATCCAATAAAGGGCTAACATTTCAAATTATGTAAAGAACTCCTAAGGCAACACCAGAAAAACAAATAACCCAATTAAAAAATGGGCAGAGGACCTGAATAGACATTTTCCAAAGACATACAGATGGCCAACAGGCACATGAAAAGATGCTCCACTCTGCTAATCATCAGGGAATGCAAATCAAAACCACAGTGAGATACCACCTCACACCAGTTAGAATGGCCAGTATCCAAAAAGACAAGAAATAACAAGTGTTGGCGAGGATGTGGAGAAAAGGGAGCCTCCTACACTGTTGGTGGGAATGTAAACTGGTATAGCCACTGTGGGAAGCAGTGTGGAGGTGCCTCAAAAACTGAAAATAGCAGTACCATATGACCCAGTAATTCCACTTTTAGGAATTTACCCAAAGAAAGCAAAATCTCTGATTTGAAAAGACATATGCACCCCTATGTTTACTACATTATTTACAATAACCAAGATATGGAAATAAAGTGTCCATCATTAGAATAAAGAGGTGGTACATACATGCAATGGAATATTCAGTCATAAAAAAAATCTTGCCATTTGTGACAACATGGGTGGACCTATAAAGTATTGTGCCAAGAGAAAAAAGCCAGGCAGAGAAAGACAAATACCATATGATTTTACTTACATGTGGAATCTAAAAATAAAACAAAATGAACAAAACAGCAGTAGATTTCATAGACACTGAGAAGTGACTGGTGGTTGCCATGGAGGTGGGGGTTGGAGTAGGTGGGTGTAAGGGGTGAAGGGGATAAAGAGGCACAAAATCTCAATTATAATATGGTCATGGGGACGAAAGTACAGCACAGAGAATCAATAGTTCTATAACATTTTTCTCTGGCAACAGATAGTAAGTAACTACAATAAAAAACACATGAAACATTTAGTCCCTACCATGGGTCAGAGACTGAAATTTATAGAAACATTACCTCAGATAACTAATTTTGCACAGTTAACATTTTGAGACTTCTCATTTGCTTCATCTGTGATGATTCTCTTGAATTTTTTGTGATAACTACCAAAATAATGTTACTAAACCCTTATTGTTCTAGATTTGATAGTATAATCTAGTTAATCTTGAAAGGATTTTACTTAAAATGTAAGATCCTAATCTCTACATCCTTTGCCTCTGTAGAATCTCCCAAGCATATCTCTTTAATTAGTGCTTTTTGTTGAAAGTTTCATTTCTTAAGAGTTGATTTTTAAAAATTAGTGATTTCTTAAATTTTCTTTTCTAGGTTTTTCTTTAACTCAAAAACTAATGCCAGTGAAGGTTCATTGAAACAAGGTAGGAAGTTGAAAAAACTAAAGTGCTTTGGTTTGTCCTTACATGGATGTCCTATGCTCACTTAGTGATAACATTAAACATAAAAGGATCTTTATATCAGAATTAAAAGAGAAAGCAGTTACATTTTTAGAAGCATCAGATGAAATGTTGGCAGATCAGGTCCCAAAAACTAATGACATGATTCAAAATCCAGAAGACAGGGATTGTACAATTGGTTAGAATAAATCTTATTTTGTAACACTATTTCCCCATCTCAAAAATAGGAGTCTTTCCTGGTCCCTACTCTGCTAGAATGTAAAAGCTACGATGTGCCTTCTTAACTCTTCAATAATACAAGGTCATTGCACTTTTCTGACGCTGTATTAGTTAACTTACTAAACCTGGAATCCTCAATGAAGTCTTTATTTCTGTAGTCCACCCACAGCTAAGCTTCTGTGGCACTTACGCAGCATCAGTTGACTATTTTTGTTAATAGTGTTTCTAGTTGTCCCATGCTAGTTGTATTTTAACTAGCAGCTTGAGGATATAAACCATGCTTGCATACCTAGGGTTTTGAACATAGGTAGAAATAAGCTAATCATTTGTTGGTTGCTAAATAAAACTCTGGATCTCATAATTATAACATAAATGCAGATGAGTAATTCACTATGCAATGATGAAAATTGTTACTGAGGTACCAGGTCCGAGTTCATTTACTTTGATGTTTATTGTTTTAATTGCTATAATGTGTTATGTAAGAGAACTTTGAACTCTTGAATCAATGTTGGTGTTGATAAGTAATATTTGGAGGGTCACTTGTAAACTTTTGAGAACAAGCAAAGCCTCCCTTCATTTTCCTGTCATCTCAGGGTTGCTTAAATCTGAAACCTAGAAGTTATCCTGAAAACCTTCCTACTTTTGACCTCAGATTTGCTCAACCTAAGTCCTGTTGCTTCTCCTTTCATAATCTCAAATGCATCTACTTCTCTCCATTCCCCTTACTACAAATCTAGTCTGGGCCATTATCATCTTTTTCCTTGCTGAGTCTAACAGCCTCCTAATTGGTTCCACTGTCTTGCCCTTTTCCAGTCCACAGTGTACCCAGAGCAATACTTTTACTACACAGTCTGGCTTTTTTCCAGTGGCCTCTCAATATAAAATTTAAAGCTTTTTTAGGAAGGCTTACAAGATTCTACAAACATGATCCTTGCTTATCTTTCTCAACTATGCTCCTGTCACTCTCAAGCCATACCACTGTATTTACAGTTGTCCTGAATGCAAATGCTGTCATCTTCAACCCTTTAGACAAACTGCATGTTCTGCCTTACATGCACCTAACACTGCTTTTTTAGGCCCACTTTAACTGGGCTCCCACTTGTTCTGCAATATTTAGCTTGGATATCTCCCCGCTTTATAAGCGCTTTCCTTAAACCACTAGACTAAGGGTTAATAAACCACATAGCCTGTTTTAAATATGGCCCTTGAGCCAAGAATGTTTTCTACATATGTAAAAGGTTGTAAAAAGGAGAATATTCAACAGAGACCATTTGTGGCTCACACAGCACTAGATGATAAGCTTTGTAAGAGATGCTATGCCTTATTCAGTTAGTCACTTCCAGGCAGTATCATACCTGGTAACTAAATCAATTTATCAGATGTTTAACTGACTAAATTTTTTATTTTTAATTTCTGTCTTAGAAAATAAGACACCTGGGCAAAGCTCTTTATGAGAATTCAGATAAGTAGTAAGGTCTCACTTTTAAAAAGGACAGCACAACAAATTAGACACTTGCAGGATCAGGCTTAAATGAATTTGAACACAACACAGGCTTTGGGTGTACATGAATACTTCTCCGTTTCACAATTGCTTTTTGCTTCTTCCATCTCTTCATCCTTTTGGACAGAAATGAGAGAATGTTTGAATGTCTTGTTTAAGCAAGAACTTCCTTAATAAGGCCTAATGGTCTTTTATGTTTTGGGGTTTTCTTTTTAAGAGCTGATCGTTTGAATTTCTAGGACTTCTTGTGGTGAATTTTTTTTGTATTTACTTTCTGCCCACCTGTCACTAGCTCGTTGTTGCCTCCTAGATTCTTGTGAGTTTTCTGGGGCTAAATGATGCTTTTAAACTCCGTATCAACACAGACTCTTTTTGTTGGTTTCTCCAGAATAGTATTTTCTTCCTCTAGCGTGTTATTACAGTCCCTTTTGGCTTTTGTTTCTTCCTTATAGAATAAATGTGGGTGCTCGATGCGTCCCCTACGTACAAAATGCTGGATCCGGGATTCTAATCCTTGGCATTTAGGACGATCCATTAGGGGCTTATATGTGCGCATTTTCACTCCTTCTACAAAGGCACTGGTCTGCTTTATGATAGAGGGCTTAACATTTCTCCATTCTATCATTCCATCCATCTTTGGTCCTATAATATATACAACCAAGCATTACATGGATATTTTATCACAACAGAATCAACTCCAAACCTTATATAAATCTACCTCCCCCATAATGCCGTATAACTTTGGTTCTGGTAAATAATGTAATCCTTGGATTTCCCTGTCATACCTGTCCCACAGGGTACTGCAACAGAGTCCAGTCCTTGCAGCATGCTATACAACATGTGAGTTTTAACAGCATGATTAGCCCATAGTTGTTGTAGGTGGGTAACGTTGAACTCCTGAACCTCCCGGTCATAGATCCACTTGATATTTTCAAACTTACAGTCATACAAAACTAGAGGAAATTCTACAGCCATACTATACAGAAGGAGAGAAAGAAGAAACAGCATAAGAATACAAAGCAACCATCCAACATTTTTTTAAAAACAGGGTTAGTCAGGTTAAAAGGAGGGGAAAAATCTTTATAACAATACTGAATACCTAATAGGAAGAAAATATAAGACTATCCCTAATCTTGAACAACTTTATAACTAAAAAAAGAACAAGGCAATAAACCATGGATCTACTGGTTAGTTTTGATCTATATCAGGATAAATTTTAATGGTAACAAGTCACCTAGAAATGAGTTGACTTGGCTCTACCATAATGCTATGAAATTAAAAGCAGCTGATGGTGTTTTTCCAAACTAGTCTATTTGTATTCATATGGAGGAAAAACTAGATTTCACTGCTTAGGAATGAATTACTGGTCTACTTGACCGCAGCTGCTCTCAGAAGAAAAGTCTGGCTGTCCTTCCTGCCTTTCCTACCATTTTAGAAACCCAGGAACAATTCAAAAGTACGATACAGCATGACTACTCCATGATACAAAGCAAACAATACTTAATATGAATAGTTGAATGCTCACTTTTTAACTTTACTAGACCCTCACAATACATCTTAACGTAAGTTCAGGAAAAAAAATGTAGAAATGAATATTCTTTTAAGGCACCTGGTCTCAACATCTATTTTCTTTCTAGTGGGATAGAACAATGAGAAATTAAAAGGCACTACTCCCTCTTTACTTGTTCATAATACTCTACAAGTTAGATTACAAGTTTCATTAAGACAGAACTAGTGACTTATTTAGACAATTGTGGGGAGAGGAACATATGTGAGAATATATTTTAAACATTCTAAGGCAGTAGCTGTTTTGCTTTTTTGGACTTTTAGCTTACCTGTATTGAGGTTTCTGGGGATTTTTCTCTATGTTCAGCAGCTCATCAATAATCTCTGGCTTCTCCATTCCTTGGCCAATCAGAAAAAGGATAGCCATCATACAGCGGACTTGATGATAAAGGAATGCCTGGCCAGTCACTTCAAACTGACATAACTGGAAAGGCTCTTGCCATCTCTCCTCAGCCAGACTTTGGCCCACAAGTTGTACTTGAGCAGACAGAATAGTCCTCTGAAAATTTACCACTCCGTTGGCTACATCCATTTTACATAAGTTTCTAAAATCATGTGTGCCAACGTACTTCTGAGCTGCGCAGTTCATGGTTACAAGGTCTAAATCAGCATGAGGGAAGAAGTAGCGGTAAGTCCTCTCGAGACAGCTGAACCGAGCACTGAAACTGGGTTCTGCTGGGGCCCAGGCCAGTACACGGATGTCTGGAGGGAGCACCCGGTTAAGAATGTGGGTATAACGGATCTCCTTAGCAGCATCATTGACTTCTTTTAAAATGAAATTTTCTGAATCCCTGGCCTTTGGAAAGTGAGAACGAAGGTCAAGAGAAATCACCTATGGAATCAGAGAATGATACTGTGTTTTAGAGACAGAAATAACCTTAATCCTCAGGATGTACACCTAGAATATATCGGTACTGCTGGCTCTGAGAAACAGGACAGTGGCCCTTACCTGCCCAAATGCACTGACTCCTTTGTCTGTCCGCCCACATCGGTGATAGTTGGACATCTGTCTGCTTTCTACTAGTCGAGTCTTGGTTAAAGCCTCAAACAGCTTTTCTTCAATTGTATTGTTTGTGTTTTCCTGACTGGCAAAGCCCTGGTATCCCCAGCCCAGATAGGCAATCTTTAAGGCTACATGTCTCTGACCATGAGCACTGAAATCAAATGCACGCTTAGCTTTTCCAGCTGCTGAGGAAGTTTCTCTAATGTTTGAGTCTTTGTTGTTGACCTGTTCTTTTTTAAGTCTTTGTACCTCCTGCTCCAATTCTTGTACTCTTTTTAGGAGATTTTCTGTCTGGATTCTCTCCGTGTCATTTTCAGCCATTATAAGACAACCCCAGGAATAGATTCAGACAGGTCCCACCCTACCTGCAAAGAACAAAAGGATAAAACAATTTCAGTGCTGATTCCTTTAGTAATGTCGGTGTCATCCCATTATGTTTTTAGACCTTTATGTCTTATGATATTAGACCTTTGCTTCTGCCCGAGGATACAAGCATTAGTTTAATTATGGGTTGGTCATTCACAGATACTACTCTTTTCCATCCTGTCTGGCCAGTTGAGAGGGGGAAAAGGAAAGTAGCACCAAAAAATATTTAGCTAGCATTGTTAAGGTTTAAGTCAGAATTTAGGGAAAATGTCTAGAGACTTCATTTTTCTAGTCTCCATGGTTGAGATGATTGAAGACTGATGTTACTGGTATTTTTTCCCCTAAAACATTTCCTTTTGATGTCTCATATTTGTCCATACTAATCGTAAGATCTGTTTATATGGAATACATATGTCTACTCTGAGTTTCTATTGCTTTCCAATATTTCAGATAGAATTAGTGGCTTCTGTGTACTGTTAACTAATAACCAATTCTATCTTAAAGGTGGTTCATAGAAGCTAGCTTGACTGAAGAAATTTGCTAATTATTGTACTTCATATTGGAAGTAGAAGTCTTTAAGCAGTTTTGATGGCAGAAAGAAGGTAATTAAGCATCACTATCCTTAAAATCAAATTTAGTGCATGTTCTGATAAAAGATTTCTGTATCTCTAGCAATTAGAAGAGTCAGTCTGGGTAATGTAATTTATATATCATTATTGAAATTTGCAGCATATTTAGATCATCTGAAAACTTTACTACATCTTTAAAATTGGGACAATACTAGGCAACCAGTCAATGACTGATGGTTACTCTAGTTATAGAAGATCATCACATCAGTTTGGAGGCTATTACCTTAAGTCTAGGTAGCCCATTTAGTTTTTTGCCCTTTGAGTTTTCATATTTATGATACATTAAAAGTTTAAATATAAAAAATGAAACTAAAAAAGTACCAGAACAAAACTTGGAATAACTTTCTTAAAATCTTGGGGTAGGAAAGTAATTTCTAAATAGGACACTGTAGAAACCTGAAACTCTAGAAAACCAAAAAATATGACTACCTAAAAATCTTTTACCGGCAAAAAAGAAAGTCAGAAGGTAAACAACAAACTGGGAAGAAAAAAATTAATGATAGCAAAGAGCTAACTTCCCTAGTATACAGGTATTTCATTAATACATAAATCAGTTTAAAATAAAGTTCAATAAGAAAAAGTCCAAATGGGGAAAAAGCTTACAAATATATGAAAGGATGCTCAATTTTTCTCAATTTAAATAAATGCCAGTTTATGAGAACTATTTTTTAACAAACTGACTGTAGAGACAAGTTTGATAGTATAAGAAGAGGGAATGGAGAAACAAGCCCTGTAAGACAATATTGGTACAACTTCTATAGAGGCTGTTTGAGAACAGTTATCAAAATTGAGCACACATATAACCTGTTGATCAACCTACTCCTTTTCTAGAAATTCAGCATACACATATGCTTGCACAAGTATGTAAAAACTTATACAAGATACTCATTTTAACCTTTGTTTAAAACAACAAAAAACTATAAGCCTAAGTTAAATCAGTCAGGGACTGACTAAATAAGTTATGGTACTCTGTACACTGGAATTCTGTGCAGCTTTAAACAAAATGGAGTAGGTCTACATGTGCTGAGATAGCTGGATTACCAGGAGTACTTTTAAGGTTCAGAAACTCATAAAATATGTTCTTTGATATATTAAAAAATGTGCATCTGAATATGAGAAATGATAAGAAATCAGCTTTGACAGTGAAACTTGGTGGGGGGAGGTAACCTCCAATACAGAGACATAGGAAACAGGAGAGGAGCCACATATACTAGATCTAGTCAGGAAACCAGCATTAGGTATTATTTGGCTGGTTGATTTGGACACTAAGTTATCTCAGTGACAGGGTACTGGGATGAACTGATTGAGCCTGGCAGCTGCATTAAAATTACCTAAGTGTATACATGCGTATTACTGCTTTTGTGATGTGTTTTTGGATTTAATCACTCTCATGGTTAAAAGCAAGGACTCTGAAGCCAGGCTGCCTGAGTTACAATTCTAGCTCCATACTTACTAGCTGTGTAACTGGGCTGGTTATTCTCTATGCCTCATGTTACCCATCTGTGAAAAGGAGTAAGAGTACCTATTTCACAGTTGTGAGGATTACAAGAATAAAGGTCAAGCACACAGAACAATGCCAGATACATAAAGTGCCTTTCTAAGTATACATTTCTAAGTACATTAAGTCCCATATCATAGAGTCTCAAGCATTTTTTCTGCCAGAATTCACCTGTCCTGTTCGAGCTACTAAAGGTGGCAAGAACTACCAGGGAGTAGCAAGTGGGAGTGAATAAGAAGAGAGTGGAAATGAAAGCAGGTAATAGATATTCTAGAGCTGAGTTAATCCCTTCATATGGTTCCCATACTACCCTGTATTAATCTTTATTTTATTATATAACTGTTGTATTTATGATTACCTTAGCCATTCTTTCTCCATTTGACTGCTATAAAATAATAAGCAAGAAGGAAATGAGTAATTTATGAACTGGGAATTTATTACCGGAAGTGATCAGTGTTTTCTCTTGCAGAAGGTCCTACAGTGTAATGGAGGAACCCATGGGACCTGATGGACAAAAATGGGCTGCTATGGATCCAGAAGAACGAATGTTAGTGGCTGCTGCAGCCTTTACCCATATCTGTGCAGGGCAGGGTGAGGGAGCTGTCAGGAGAGAAGCCCAGTCTATCCAGTATGATCCCTACAGTAAGGCTTCAGTAACCCCAGGAAAGCAACCTGCTCTTCCCGTGCAACTACAGTACCCCCAGGTAGAAAATAATGACATTTCAGAAACAGTCTCAGAGGCCTCCCAAAAACTCCGGAAACCAGTGATGAAGAGAAAGGTGCTGCGTAGGAAGCCGGGTGGGGAAGTATTAGTGACAGATGAGTCAATTATCAGTGAATCAGAGTCTGGTACAGAGAGTGATACAGATCTCTGGGATTTAAGACAAAAGCTGATAAATCTGCAGTTCCAGGAAGACAGGGAGTTCCCTGAGGATACTTCACAGAAATATAATCTTGCACATGAATACCAAGGAATTTCTCAAGATCAGCTCATTTGCTATCTACGAAGAGAAGGCATGGGCCCTCCAGCTTATGAACAAGACCTGATTGTTGCCAGCCGACCCAAGTCCTTTATTCTCCCAAGGCTGGACCAGTTAAGTCGAAACCGGGGCAAGGTAGACCGGGTAGCCCGATATTTTGAGTACAAACGAGACTGGGACTCAATGCGGTTACCTGGTGAAGATCACAGGAAGGAATTACGATGGGGTATCCGAGAGCAGATGCTTTGTCGAACAGAGCCCCAAACCAAGCCTCAGCACATATACGTTCCAAACAATTACCTAGTACCGACTGAGAAGAAAAGATCTGCTCTTCGCTGGGGTGTTCGTTGTGACCTTGCAAATGGTGTCATGCCCAGGAAGCTCCCTTTCTCTCTCTCTCCTTCTTAAGTCTTTTTTTAAACCTGTCTCCTTTCACAGGATTGTTTGGGATAAACTGGTTCTTTATATGTCTCCATTTATTTAAATAGAAACAACTAATTTGAAAGTCCATAAAACATAGAGTAGGGACTTCACCCATCATTGGTCTTCCACAGGTATATATCATACTGGTATCAGACACCACTTAAGTTCTAAATTACCACTCTCAGATCCAGCAATTGCAAGAGAAATCAAGCCAGAGAAAGAAAGACCTGGTCTTTATGTTTTGTCAGGCTACAAAGCAGTCATTTAGCACTATTCCTGTTCTATAACCTTTTTACCTTTGGCCAATGTTACTGTTTTTATTAGTGTGTTTTTAAAGTTGCTGGGTGTTAAGCTTATCCATTAAAGAATTTTGGAAATTTTGAACTTGACTTTATTTAATACTTCCCAAAGTAAGATGATCTCCAAGGAGGGTTTTGATTCTCCTTTCCATTGTACTCCCCATCATACTCTCACCACCTAAATAATGAGCCAAAGGGAAGAAACAAAAACTTGCCCTTTATATACAAGCCTAAAGAAAGGAAACGAGGTATCAGCAAAGATCTATTACTAAAGAAATACAGTAAGCCCACATAACCATATTAAATGCTTTTTAATAGATGCTCAGTAACAGCATTATATGACATAACGGATTCTAACCCAAGTTTTGTTTCAGAATTATTTCAGTAATACATTGCCCGCTAGTTAATTCCAGGATACCATACTTTTTTATGATTTGCCACTGAGCTTTTCTTAGAAATGATGCCAATCACTGCATCTGAAACTAGATGCAGACAAATACCAAAATCTGGCCTATCTGGGCATGGACCAAAATACTAATTCTGCTTACCTTACACTATGTTTGTCTTTAATGTCTCTAATCCAGTGAGGAACAACTAATTTATGAAGGTTGTTGGTGTGACCATTTGAAGCTGAAGCTGGAAGAATGACAGGAAATATAGTTTGCTTGTTCAAGGAAAAACAGCTGTGTAACCAAAATGAATGGCCTTGACAATTACAATCGGCTGAAGTACATTTTCTCCATAACACTTAAGCTACATAATCCATTCATTCACCCAGTTCCACTGTGAGGCATTTATCAGGGAAAGAGAAATCAGTGACTCAAAGATATGTAGGATATATTCACGGCAAATAAGAAAGACCTGCAAACTATCCTGCAATGAAAGTGATTAAATAAATATTAAAATATCAGTCATTAGGAATCATGGGAGCTAATGGAAAAATGGCACCTTAAGTGAAACAGGTCATAAACTGTACAATATGATCACAGTCATACAAACAAAGTACAAGGAAAGATCAACACCTCACTAGGAGTTTTTATTACCTTTTTAAAAAAGGTAAAAGCCACATGGAATTTTTTACATGCAAATAACAGCAAAACGCTTCAATGATTAACCTTCTTTATATGTATACCAAAGCCGGATATTGCCAGATCAAGAAGTTTCATGACTAGTTCAACCCTTTATTTAACCAAAGAACTGGTCCAAAAGGGTTAATCGGTTATTATGACAGATTTGTGGCAAAAAGAGGAGCCCGACTTCTGATTCGGTACAAGGATATTCCTCAGCGCACCAAACCCTTCTCACTGGGAAGCTAACACATAACACCTGGAAGGGTACAAATTACCATAAAAAGAATTCGTGTGTGAGCTAAATAAACAACCATCGCTAGTTTCGATACTTTTTTTGAAGTTAAAAAGGGTTTTAGTCTCGAATATACTAGTAAGCAGTGCAGTGGCAGAAAGCATTCCCCATGAAAAACTTTATTTTAAGCCAAAGAATAAAGGAGGGATAATATCCAAAGGATCAGGAGACACGCACTGTGATCACTAATATTGAAAAGCAACCGTGTGGAAAGTCATCTCCCAAACAATTTGAAAGATGTAGCCAGGCCGCCCTCCCGCCCCACAAACTACTAGGATTCCCGACTTCTACCAGTATTTAGTTTTATGAGCAAACAGAATTCCAAGGCAGCAGAGACAACTTCCAGGGGCCTCTAAGAATTAGAATTTCCTACTGCTGCGAGTTTGTGCCAGGAGCTCCAAAAGCACCCGACGTAAAAACAGGGTCTTAACGCGAAGCCCCACTTCCACACACCAGCGCTTTTCCGCCAAATCAAGGTATGGGGACACGGAGTGGGGGAGAGAAAAAAACGTCCCGCTATTTTTCTGCTCCTCTTTGTAGAACCCAGAAAACAACCCACCCCAAGCGCCCCACACTTGCCTTCCCGTCGCCGCCTGGCAGCTTTTCCGGAGACAGGAAGCTGTCACTCCGCGTCATCCTCGCGCGCGCGCGGGGCCTCACGGGAGATGTAGTTCACCTTTGCGGGAGACGTAGTTCTCAGAGTCCATGGTGCACACTTGATGCTGAAATCTGCCTAATGTTTTCCAGTCTGGCCACCTTTTCTCCAGCTCCGACAAGGCAGAATCTGGGGGTTGTACAAGAACAAAAGATAGGAAGATTCTAGTGCGCTAAGTAGTTTTTCAAATGTCTGCTATATTTATACGACAATTAAGATTAAAGAACGTGGCCCGATTTTATACCTACTTAAATTAGTAGAAAGTTACCATTGAAAGATAAAAACATTTACTATTAGAGTCCACATTTAAAGGCTGAAAAGCAATATGATCACTTCAAAAACAAAACAAATAAACGATTGAGTGCGTGAGAGTGACCGAACAGAGCTGGGATTCCTGCTTCAGCACCACGGAGAGATCATAACTAGGTTTTTGTTTGTGGGTTTTTCCAGAGGTGCTGATCCAGATCACAAGACTCCAGTTAAAAAACTGGTATGGGGCGGGGGAGGAGGGGGGATCTGTTAGGGCTTTTTTTTGGTCCAAATTTGACGTCAGTAGTACAAGGTCTTTCTACTGGGTTATGCATGTTTAGTTAGGAGGTGGAGGTTGTACAGCAAGGAAAACTGTTTTCTCAGGATTGCTTTAGCAAAGGGCACACATCAGAATTCAAATTAAAACAAGCCGGTATGTGCAAACATCACAGGCATCTAGGAGCAGGAACAATAGAGCTTGAACAACTTTATTTCCTTTCCTCATCTTTCGAATTCGAATTAATTTGTCAGATGAAACAACCATTTTGACCCTCCACTTTTCCTATGCAATTCGCTAGCCTTTCTGATCTTGCAATGTAGAAGTGGAAATTTCGGGTGAAATTTCAAGCACGAGAGCTTGAAGCGGGATCGGGGGGTCCAGCCTCACCACCTGGAGAAAGGTCTGGGTGGTGGGTGGTGGGTAACGGAGGTAGGACTCTCGAATCAGTACGAAGATTGCTGCTGCTTAGAGTCCCAAGCTGTGGGTTTAGCAGAGGCCAGCAGCAGGCGAATGTTCACTGCGAGAACACCCATTACCGGGTTCCTCACACCTGGCGCGCACGGGGGCGCTAGCTAAACAGAGACTTGTCCGATCAATGCAGTTCTCCAGCTCGGGAGGCCACGCCCACCGCTGCCCCCACCAGGACCCCGCCTCCCCCACCTTCCCCGCGCTCCTGGGGCTGCGCGCCGCGCGGCGGGTGGTCGCGAGCGCGTAAGCCTGCCCCCCGAGCAAGCCCACTGGCTGCTGGGTGCACCGCACTACCTCCCGCCTGGGGCGAACGCACGTGCCGGGGGCGGGAGCAGCGGTTGTTAACTGCCGAGGTCGCCATCGGCCGCAGTCGCGGCTAGCTCAGCGATGGCGTCGGAACCCTGGGGAGGCGACGCTGGAGTGGCGGAGAGTGAGCGGCCGAACTGCCAGGTCACCGCCACCGACCGGGCTGGGCAATGGGGCGGGCGCTAGAGCAGCACTCCGCGAGGGAAAGGGGAAGTTTGGAGTAGAGTGTTAAATGGTGGAGGGGAGAGGTGGCAAGGATTGTGAAGAGGGCCACGGGAAAGGGGACCCCGAAAGAGACAGACCTTTGGTTTGAAAGGGCAAAAAGAAGACACTTGGCCCAGGAGGGAAAGTAGATGGTAGACACACATAGACCCTGGGATTTCTGTTCTCCCCATCTGCCCGTTCAGCCTTCTATCTTACCTACCAACGAGCTTTCCTGTCTACTACCCCTTGCTGATGCTGTGACCCCCCAAAGATTGCCACACTTCGACTACGGGACTATAAAGAGGAACTTCACATACAGGGGCAGCAGAAAGTCTCATCTAGTTTTAGGATAATGCATCCAGAAAAACCTATCCTGAAAGGAACCCACTAATAACTACCACTGCCAAAGAAACAGTATTCGGGTGGTCGTCCCTGCATTCCTTGAGTTACTTAGAGGGTATTGCTAGGCTGCTAGATGACTTGCTTCCTAATAACGGTTGGAATTTGTGTCTTTTAATACTTTTCAAACTTCATCCACCAGCAGAAGAGCCTTCAGGGTATTAAGAGTTCTACCACTGCAAATGTAGGTGAGTGCTATTAGATAAAGCAGATGGGTCTCAATTAATTAAAAAGCGTTGCTTTCCTCATGTCCCTGGCAACTGAAATACCTTTGTCTCCCCTAATTTAACAGTCAAGGTCCTCCACTAACTAACCCTTTTACCCACTTTCCCAGTGGATGACCCTTCTAGTCAGTGCACTGTAGAGTGGGCGAGAGAAATTGGGAGAATAAACTTTACATTTCTGCTAGGTATTTACCTTTACCTTTATTGTTTTTCTTCCATTCTTTTAGGAGGTTCTATTAATCACACCGAAGATGATGATGAAAATATAGGTAGGAGATAAATTCATTTGCACGTGTTTCCTAGCACTCTTTCAGTTAATCCTGACTTTCACAATGTGAGTGAATAATATCTCAATTGGAGAACTGTCTTTGTATTTTCCTTGTAAATAGTGACTATCAGACAAAATACTAAGTTAGGAGTGATACTGTGACCCCCAAAGATTGCCACATTTCAACTAGAGGAATCTAAAAAGGAACTTCACATACAGGGACAGCCTATTTCTTTAGAGGAAGTTGAAATGGAATATGCAGGAATGGGTTAAGAATTTTCAGCTGTCAAGGAAGAATTAGGTCTGGCAGCAACGGATTTAGGCTTGCTTGAGGTTAGAGGTTGGTGTAGCAGCAGAGCATAAGAAACTGAATCCTAATGAAAAGAGGAATTCTCAGGGCTATGTTATTCTTTAGACCTTTTTTTTAAAAGATGAGAGTAAGAGCAGTTGCTTGATACACAATCACTAAATGGGAGGGAGCAATTTATTAGATGTCTTTTACAATATTGCCCTTTTTATTCTTGTTTTTCCAGTGGATTTGGCAGCCAATTCACTCTTGAACAAGTTAATCCGACAGTCCTTAGTCGAATCCTATCACCAGGTAGAAGTCTTACAAAGGGATCCCAGTTCTCCACTCTACTCAGTGAAATCATTTGAGGAGCTACGGCTGTGAGTATTTTTACTGTGTTAGTGTGGGAAGATGCTGGAAAGACAAACTAATCTAATAAAAACTGTCAGAATTTCCTTCATGTTCTAATACAAAGTATTAAAATGAGATGTCTGCATTTTTGTGCAATTAAAATAATAGCTCAAAAAGAACACTAGGATACCTGACTTGTCCTGCAAATAGAGAACATTTCCAATGGTAGAATATTTTAACCTTGCTGTGCTGAGGGGGATAGCTAAGCCCAACACAGCCTTCTTGCTACTATCTATGCTAGAATACAGGTACAGGGACACTGATGGTCCAAAGAGCCTTACCCCTTTAGATAAGTTATGAGCTTTTACCTTCCTAATTATATTTTGTTTCAAATGGTATTAAAATGAGTAACTTTCCCAAAAGGGTTTCATTTCTTAGGGATCTATCAATTGACATTAAGAAAATGTATTTTAACAGGGAGAGTTATTAATACAGACTCACATAAAGGGAGAAAATCCAAAGTCCCAATGCTCTGATATTTTCTAAATGCAAGGAGAAGCCTACCTATGATTAAAAGTTGGCTACCAGTAATCTACCAATTAATCACACCCTCGAAGTGCGTGTCATCGAAGGTGGAAGTGTTCCCACCGACTTCACTTTGTCCTCTTTCCAACATTTATCATGAGACCCAAGAAAAAATATACTTAAAGATACAGCTCAAGCAGAATAACTACGAGAAATTACACTTTTCATTTTCCCACTGAAGCACTTGCTCACATTTCTCTGTACTTTGGGTGTTTCCTTTCCCAAAGGAGGCCTCTTATGCCTCAGCCACATATACCATTACTGCAGTACTTCTCTGGAGGTTTTCCTGGTCACTTACTATAGATTGAGAACATACACTAGAAGCAAAATTTCCCCCAGAAATCACCTCAGATTACATCTTTTCTAAATATTAACAATTGCTAAGCTGAAATAACCAGCAGAAGTTTGGCTTTGACTTTTCCGGATTTCTGGTTTTTACACAGTGATTCTACAATTTCAGTATACTTCTTAAAATTGAATTATGCATATTCAGTGCATACACTGAACCAGTTAGGAGGGAGAGCCTGCAAAACATTATTGCCTCTTCAGTCTCCTTTCTCATTTGTTTTTTCCCAGAAATAAAACTAAGCTAGACTTTTAAAAATTGTGTTCTGCTATAGTCTACAAATTTAAGAGAAAAGGTGATGAATGTTTTTATTTTCATGTTGTCAATAGCTCATCATGAATTTACTTCCATTTTGAATGTGGAACCTACTGTGTGCAAAGCAGGTGTAACAAAATCGCATTTTCCTTTCTGCACATCTGTTAAAGCTGTTTTCTTTCTTTTTTCCTAAATTTGATTTCTCTCACTTGTAATCATTTAACTATAAAAGATCTGGATATTAAAAAAAAAAAAGATACAGCTCAGAAAGATGCAGTAATATTGTCTTCTGCTCCTACACAGAATTGATGTGAGAATCACCTAAATAAAATTTTGTCATCTCTGAAAATTGTGTTAAAACATCACAGTTTGCCATTCGTTAAAAAGAGCTGAACAATAAATCCCAGTTTTCTGCTTGTGTGGCGAATAAGTCTCCGGGAAAATTGATAAACTTCTATCAGATGGGTTTTTCCTTTTTTGGGGTGTCAAGTTCTCTGTTAGGCCCTATTCTGTCCTAAGCCTAGGCTGATAGCTTATTTCAGTGGCCAACAGCACAGGCGTGACTGTACATGTTTGGGAGCTGAGGTAAATATTATAACTTTAAATATTACTTAGGAAGATCAGTTGCAAAGTGGCTTAATTTAGAAATGCACCTTTCAGAGACTACTGAAAAATGTTCTAAGTGTTGAATTTTTTTTTTTTGACAGAAAAGAAGACCTATTAAAAGGGATCTATGTAATGGGATTTAATAGACCATCTAAAATCCAAGAGATGGCTCTCCCTATGATCCTGGCATATCCGTGAGTTTCCAGGGTAGTGGTTCTCTACCTTGGATATAATTAGTCTCCCATAATCAGTTTACAATCAGACTCTTGCATTCACTTCATGCTCCGTGATGTCTTTTCTACAGACCTCAGAACCTCATAGCCCAGAGCCAATCTGGAACAGGAAAAACAGCTGCTTTTGTCTTGGCCATGCTGAGCAGAGTTAATGCCTTGGAGTTATTCCCACAGGTAAGGAAAGGCTGAGAGAGAGATGTGAATGCTTGCAGTGCTGGTGATGTTTTAGTAATAGATGATACTGTTGCAATGATATGGTGATATTTAGAAATAGACGTTCTCTCATAAAATCAGAGTATTGGGCAGCAGTATGGATAGTGATTGAGAGCCCAGGTTTTATAGTTTTGACTGGTTCCATTGCAACCCCTCTACTTACAGGCTGAGTGACTTAGATGAGTTAATAGATCTTTCCAAGTCTGTTTCCTTGTCTGCAAACACAACATCTATAAAGGTATGGATTACAGTTGTGTACACCCTTGACACCTAACACCAAGCACACTTCCTGGCTTGTAGAAACCACTGATTAAACATTGAATGAATGAGTGAATGAATGAACGAATACTTAACCCTTACAATTGTCATGCAGATTAAATGCAATAATGTACATTTTTAGCACTGCACTTGGCATAAAGTGAACATTCAGTATTTAATAAGGACAGCTGTGTAGCTGTAGGATGGGTATATCATCCACTCTGCCTCATTCATTCAGCAGAGAAGGAAACTGAGGCTTGGAGGGGGAACGGTCACATGTAAAGTCACAGATGTCAGAGAGTGACTGAGCAAAGACTGGCACTGAGCTTGCCATTCTCTTAGTCTAGCTTCCACTCTTGGGAAGTGTCTGGTAATCTCTCCCTCTTTGTCCAAACTGTACTCATCAATCAGTGAGTACCACTGACAACCACAATGAGTCTCGCATGCACTCAGTGCTGTGGGGAAAACATAAATTCTCTCGGAAAGTGTACCATTTGATCAGCAAGACAAACTGCAGATGTGGGTGACTGATGCCAGGTGTACAAAATCTTCTGCTTTTTAGACAAGTTCAGTGAAATTTATATTTGGGGTTTGATATTACGAATAAAAATTCTTCAAGAAAAGCTGTGCTTTGAATGCATTTTGAGAAATGTGTGTGGAAACTATTAGTGCATCAGCTATGTTTCCCTCTCCTGTCACAGAACCTTAATTGAAGCACATAAATCCCTTAAATATCATCAGTTCCTCCCATCAACATCGTCATTCAGTCACTACCAATTTATAAGGGGATGGAAGGAACAAATGAAGGTTTGAGGGAGTACTCTGCCAGAGCTGTACACGATGGAGTGAATCAAGTAGAGAGTGTTCTGGAAACAGGCAGACTTGCTAGCAGGCTGGAGGTGACGGGGACCACACTCCCGCCGGAATTTGCCTTGCATTCCCTCTCTTTTTGATTCCCAGCCTCCATACATCCCATTCTTCCCCCAACGTAAAAGTGGGACCGGCGACCTGTGTTTCTTCATAACCCTTCAAAGAGGAATATATAAAAGAGAAATACAAAGAAGATAGCTGTTTTTCCACCCTTCAGCTCCTTCTCCCCACAACACTCAGCATTTACCTTAGATTTATCAGCTGCTAAACTGTATTCAATTTCAAATACTGTATTCAGTCAAAATCCCCATTTTTGCTCCTGTGCGCCTCCCTGTACATATTTTAACTGAGTTTCAAATTTGCATGGTGGCTCTTGTGAACCTTTCTACTTCCCCTTTTTCTGTCTATCTCGCAGTGCCTCTGCCTGGCTCCCACTTATGAACTGGCTCTGCAAATTGGCTCCGTGGTTCTGCAGATGGGAAGATTCTGTGTGGATATTGACGTGATGTACGCCATTCGGGGGAATCGAAGTATGTACCAGTGAGCCAGTCCTGGCTGGTTTTTCAAATCTTGACTCCACTGCTAACAAGTGTGTTACATAAACTTCTCTGCTTTCTCATCTCTGAATTGGGGGATAACATAGCACCTGTATCAAAGAATTGTTACTGGAATTAAATGATATACATAAACCACCGTGCACAATGTCTGGCACACAATAAGGACCTAGTAAACGTTTGCCAAGCCATTGCCATATCCTGCCAGAGGATGCTTTTGTATATATTTTTTCTTTGAGGCTCAGTTGGTTTATGCAGAACAGCTTTCATTGCTAGCTTTTTCATTAAAGTATTACCTGTGTACAGAAAAAAAAATCTTTGAAAAAGATTAGAAGGTAAAAGTGAAAGATGTTCTTTCCTGTCCTCCCAAAATCTCTTTCCAAAGATAACTACAGTTTTGGTAACAGACCTTTGTTTTTGCTTTTATTTTTGAGCTCATACATACAAAATGCCACATACATGTATTTGTTTTCATAGAGTGTTTATAAAAATGGAACTTTTTTTCATAGTCTTCAGAAATGTACATGTTTTGGACATCTTCCCATGTCTACATATAGCCCCACCTCATTCTTTTGACGAGCTGCATAATATTCCATGATTTATTTAATGTAACCTATTGATAGATAGTTTTGGTTGTTTATTTTAGGAGAGTTTGTAGGGTTTTCACACCTGTGCCATCATGTCTTTGGATGGTGGGGTCACTGCTTTTTAAATAACCATGGGGCAGAATCAAATATGCAGGAGTATTATGATTACCGTAAACCTAGAAACTGAGCAATTTATCCTAAAACTCTGTAAAATAAGAAACCACAATGATCTTCGGTGTCTGCACTTGGAAAATTATGAAATGTACTTTTTCTTGAGTTTTGTGTTGCATTGCCCTGAACTGTGGACTGTTAAGAGTTGTTTGCACTCCTCTGAAGGATCCCTTCAAACCTTTTTCTCCCTAGTTCCCAGAGGCACTAACATCACCAAACAGATTGTCATTGGCACTCCTGGGACTGTCCTAGATTGGTGTTTCAAGAAAAACTTAATTGATTTGACTAAGATTCGTGTGTTTGTCCTGGATGAAGCAGATGTGATGATTGCCACACAAGGATTCTTAGATCAAAGCATTCGTATTCAGAGGTAATATTCACATTCATCCTTTCTCCTGGCTCTTTTGTCCAGTTGAGAAATTTCATTTGTCTGTTGCTCCTAATGGTCTTTACTGCTTAATTCCCCACTTCCTTCACCTTTAAAAGAAATCTGGGTTTTCATTATTTTCACAAGCTCAGCACGCCTTCAGACTGCTAGAATGTTCTGGTTTCTTCAGCTTATGATCTTGCCTGACTGCTTTACTTTTGCACTACAGTACAGACCTACAGAAGGAATTCCATATAGAGGGTGGGCACCAATTTTGCTAATGATTTTTTAAATTACAATGTAGTTGACCTACAGTATTATATTAGTTTCAGGTGTACAACATAGTGATTGGTTCAGCCTTCACATACATTATGAAATGCTTACCATGGTAAGTGAAGTTACCATCTGTAACCATACGAAGATACTACAATATTGTTGACTACATTCCCTATTTGTACTTTTCATCCACGTGACTTATTTGTTTTATAACTGGCAGTTTGTACCTGTTTATTCCCTCCACCTGTTTCATATATATGCTCTCCCCTCTGGCAACCACCGTTTTATTCTCTGTATTTATGAGTCTATTTCTGTTTTTCCTTTTGTTTCTTTTGTTTCTTTAGATTCTACATATAAGTGAAGTCATATAGTATGTTTTTGTCTTTCTCTGACTTATTTCACTCAGCATAATACCCCCGTGGTCCATTCGTGTTGTCATGAATGGAAATATTTCATTCGTTTTAATGACTGAGTTACATTTCACTGTATGTGTGTGTCATATCTTCTTTATCTGTTCATCTATCGATGGACACTTAGGTTGTTGCCATATGGTTATTGTAAATAATACTGTGATAAACATAGGGTTGCATATATCTTTTCTAATTATTGTTTTAATTTTCTTCAGGTAAATACCAGAAGTGGAATTACTAGATCCTATGGTATTTCTAGTTTCTGAGGGAACCTCCATACTGTTCCCATAATGGCCACACCAGTTTACATTCCTGCCAACAGTGCGTGAGAGTTCCCTTTTCTCTACACCCTAGCCAGCCCTTGTTCATATTAGCTGCTCTGGCTGGTGTGAGGTGATAATCTCATTGTGGTTTTGATTTGCATTTCCCTGATGATTAGCGACACTGAGCGTTTTTTCATGTGTCTATTTGGCCATCCACATCCGTGGATCTTCTTTGGAGAAACATCTACTCAGTTCTGCTGCCCATTTTTTTTATAAAGTTGTTTTTTTGCCAGGGAGGGGGGTTTGAGTTTTATGAGTTCTTTTTATATGTTGGATATTTGCCCTTTATCAGATATGTAATTTGCAAATATATTCTTCCATTCAGTAGGTGCCTTTTTGTTTTGTTGATGGTTTCCTTCACAGTGCAGAAGCTTTTTAGTTTGCTGGAGTCCCCCTTGTTTATTTCTGCTTTTATTTCCCTTGCCTGATGTTTAAGAGTTTAGTGTCCATGTTTTTTGTTCTTGCAATTCCATGGTTTCAGGTCTTACATTTAGTTCTTTAACCCACTTCAAGCTTATTTTTGTGTATGGTGTAAGACAGTGATTCAGTTTCATCATTTTGCATGTAGCCATCCAGTCTTCCCAACACCATTTATTGAAGAGACTGTCTTTCCCCCATTGTATATTCTTGCCTCCTTTGTTGTAGATTCAGTGACCATATAACTGTGGCTTTACTTCTTGGAACTCTGTCTTGTTCCATTAATCTCTGTGTCTGTATTTGTGCCCATACCATACTGCTTTGATTATTATAGCTTTGTAGTATAGCCTGAAATCAGGGCTCATGATACCTCCAGCCTGTCTTTAGTGGTTCCTTGCAAATTTGAGTATTATTTGTTCTAGTTCTGTGAAAAATGCCATTCATGTTTTGATATGGATTACATTGAATCTGTAGGTTGCTTTTAGTAGTATGCACATTTTAACTATATTAATTTTCCCATCTGTGAGCATGGTATATCTTTACAGTTATTTGTGTCATCTTCAATTTCTTTCATCAGTGTCTTATAATTTTGAAAGTAAAGGTCTTTCCCTTTCTTGGTTAAATTTATTCTGGGTATCCTTTTTGAGGTAATTGTAAATGGGGTTGTTTTCTTAAATTCTCTGTCTGCTAATTCATTATTAGTGTCTAGAACAGGTTTCTGTATGTTGATTTTGTATTTTGTAACTTTACTGAATTCATTTTTTAGTTCTAATAGTTTTTTTGTTGGAGTCTTTGGGTTTTCTATATATAGTATCTTGTCATCTGCAAGTAGTGACAATTTTACTTCTTCATTACCAGTTTAGATGCCTTTTATTTCATTTTTCTCATCTGATTCTTACTGTGCTAGGACTTCCAATACTGTCTTGGATAAAAGTGGTAAGGAAGGACATTCTTGTCTTGTTCCTGATGCTAGAGGAGAGACTTCTAGCTTTTCACCATTAAACATGATGTTAGCTATGGGTTCGTCATATGTGGCTTTTACTATGTTGACTTATGTTCCATTTAGCCACTTTGTTGATAGTTTCTCTCATAAATGGATGTTAATTTTTGCCAAATATTTTTTCTCCATCTATTGAAATGATGATGTTTTTATCCTTCCTTTTGTTAATGTGGTTTATTACATTGATTGATTTGCAGTTGTTGAACCATCCTCACATCCCTGGAATAAATCCTGTCTGATCGTGGTGAACAATCCTTTTAATGTATTCTTTAATTGGATTGCTAATATTTTGTTGAGGATTTTTGCATTTGTGTTCATCAGGGATATTGTCTCTAGTTTTCCTTTTTGATAGTGTCTTTGGTTTTGGTATCAAATGCTGGCCTCGTAGAATGAATTTGGAAACATTCTTTCCTCTTCTATTTTTTTGGAATAGCTTAAGAGGGAGAGGGTTAGGTATTAACTCTTTTTAAATGTTTGGTAGAACTCACCTGTGAGGCCAACTGGGATGGACTTGTTTTTTTGTCAGTTTTTTAAAATTACCAATCAATTTTACTAGTAATTAATCTTTTCATATTTCCTATCTCTTCCTCAGTCTTCCAAGGTTGTATGTTTTTAGGAATTTATCCATTTCTTAAAGGTTTTGAATTTGTTGACATACAATTTTTCATAGTAATCTCTTAAAATCCTTTGTATTTCTGTAATGTCGATTATAACCCTTCTTTCATTTCTGATTTCATTTATTGGAGTCATCTTTTTTTCTTGATGAGTCTGGCTAAAGGTTTATCAGTTTTATCTTTTTAAAGAACCAGCTCTTGGTTTCATTGTTCTTGTGTGTTTCCTTTTTTGAAAAAATCCCTTTTTTATTTGTACAACGTCTTAGAAATCCGGTGTGTTCTGCAGAACTGCCCATATTTCCTTTTCTTATATAATGTGTATGAATTTTCTTTTTGGAATGAAATGGCCTAGGCCTTAGGATACCAGTCCTAAGGATACCATTTCAAGTGTGGGACTGTATTACAGCCAGTGGCCATAGGGCCCCAGCACACCAGAGCAGAATTTTCGGCATCTAACATTACCACCCCCGTTTTCAGTCCTTTCCCCCTAACTTCCTGGTCCTGGTGCTCACAGGGCCAAGATCTCTGTAAGGGGCCCATTGCCTTTCCAGCTCAGCTGCCTTTTTCATCAATATTTCCGTCTGTAGCATTCATATCGTAGCTTCTTCCACTTTCTCATTTACCAAACTTTTCTCTCAAAGTGTATTAAAAAATACCTTATGCACCAGTTTCTCCTCTTCTATTCTCCATCATTTTGTGGATTCCTGCCTTTTTATCTCTTACTAAGCATATCAGTGCTATGTGGGAATATATGGACCGTCTGCCATAGTTGACCAGAAGCCTGCCAGATTGTTATTTTGAAAAGGTCCTCAGACTATCCAGGCTCCAAGCTTAAAATAGTGTTTGGGAATGACTGGATTGCACAAGAACTTATTCTTCTAAGTGCTCTGTCTTCTCATAAGTGATGATTTCTCTGTGGTCTCTTTTATTTTGTAAAAAAATAAATTAACTTTTTTACTGATAACACAAAATATGTGCAAAGAAATATGAGATCATAAGTGTCTAGCTGAGTGAATTATTACAAAGAAGCTATGCCCATATGACATTGACCCAGATCAAGAAATAGAACTTTTGCCAGCGCTCTGAGGTCCCCTGCAGCTCCTTGCCTGTCACTAGCCTCTCCCTTTCCCAGGATGACCTCTGTCCTGCTTGCTAACTCCACAGATTCATTGGCCTGATTTGGGACTTTATGTAAACCAGCCCCATGTTCATTATGGGCACATCTTCTACTCCCCATTCATGTTGAGGTTCTTCTCATCCCAAGTAAAGTCAGTTGTAACTGTTGTCCTTCCCTCCCAAGAAGTAGATCACCTGCTACTGAATGACCAGCCTGTTTCCTTCATCTGCATATAACTTTGTGTGAGACACTTTACCATAAAGAATGTCTAGACTGTGCCCTTACCTCCATGATTCTGCCTCTCCTAAGAAGAAAATTGTCATGAAGAACCTCAAGCCTTCCAGAATACATACCTACAGTTTGTTCTGGAGCTGCACATTCAGTTTATGTGTTTTTCCAAATTCTTTGTGGCAAGGGGGACAGGGCACATGGCTCTTTGTATAAAGGTGTAGCTTGTTGCTGGCAGCCTCTCCCATGCTGACCCAGAGCAGGTGGGTGTGGAACAGCTGCAGGCACTGGGCGTGAGGTGCTTGAAGCTACCTCCAAAGGAGAGTGACGGGCGGCAGTTGGGTGACGGCCTTCTTCTCTCTTCTCCCACAGAGCTTTACCCTCTGGGTGCCAGATGCTGCTCTTTTCAGCGACCTTTGGGGACTCATTGTGGCGGTTTGCAGAGCAAATCATTCCTGACCCTAATGTTATCAAGTTACGAAAAGAGGAGCTGACCCTGGACAACATCCGTCAGTATTACGTGTTATGTGAGGATAGGAGAGACAAATACGAAGCTCTGTGCAACATTTACGGTGGCCTCACCATTGCTCAGGCCATCATCTTCTGCCAGGTAACCGCAGTGCGCTGGTGTGCATCATGTCCAGACTTCCCTGCAGGCAGAGGTATGGAGACAGTGACACTAATAAATACTTGCATATAGAACACAGTGCGCCCGGCTCTTTTTGTACCTTATAAAATGTAAGTTTATCTTCAGAGCAACTCTGAATAGAAATTATCTGTATGTTGTGAGTGAAACTTAAGAATGTTAAATAATAAAAAGGAAGAACTTCAGTATGTTAAGCAGAGGGCACCCTTTATTTAGAGGAAGTGCTTCAAACATTTTCTCATTTTTAATGTTTATTGTCAGGTTTTTCCAGATACTCTTTATCAGGTTAAGAATGTTCTCTTTGGACGGGTAAGATTCCTCAAGGGAGGAACAACCTAAGACAGGCACAGTCGCAGGGGGGCCATCAGGTGAGAAATTGGGGATCAACAGAGGTGAAGCTTAGAAACTCACCCCACCGTTTTGAGAGAAATCTTCTGTATCCGTGGATGTTTTATTGCCCTTGTCTAGCTTGGATTAACACATAGTCTACAGGCACACACCTGATCATCTACATTTGCTCTCTTATAGCACTAAACTATGTTTTCTACCTTTATCTTGCATCTACCTACCACTTCAGCATTTTATTTAAAATAATAATAATAATAATAATAATAAGGGAGAAATGTGGAATTCACATATAAATCAAGTATAAAAATCAAACAAATATTCATATTTGACCTGATTGTTTATAGTTCATAATGCGTGATCAAAACCGAAAGTTTCTGTGATGACTGCCCTTGCATTGTTCACCATGTAAGAACTTATTCACTATGTAAGAATTTGTTCACCATGTAACAACTTGTTCGTTATGCTTCAGAAGATTGGAGACTGATGAGAATTAGGCTTGGGGTGGATTAATGATTGTGCTTTGAGCATTGAGTCCCCTATACAGAATTTTATTGTTGTTAACAACCATTTGATCAATAAATATGAGAGATGCCCTCTCAAAAAAAAAAAAAAAGAATGTTCTCTTTGATTCCCAACTTACTGTGAGCAAGTAGCTACTCAGTTGTTCACTATTAATATTTTTATTTGCATCTTAGTTTTTTGCTGTCTGACATTTTTTGTGTTCCTGTGTTGGTTTTATTTTCTCACTACCACACAGGCACTGTAAGCTCCTTGAGAGCAGGAACTCATCTGTCTTACATACTTTTATATCCCTTGCACTAGAATAGCACCTGCCTGGCATTTGGACAGTGCTGGAAACACTGTCCAAATAAAGGAAAGCTCAGCTTTTCCATGGACTAGGCATGTAATCTGGGGCAAGTTATTTAATGCTGTTAAGCTTTGAGATTTTTTTAAAGTTTTAAATGAAATTAGGTAGCCAATCACATTGTTGTGAAATTTTCATGACTTCATCAAATCGTTGTGAAAGTAAATGACCGTAATGCATGTAAAGATTTTAGCAAGATGCCTGGCATATTTGGGCCTGGCATACATGGAGCACTCTTAGAGTGTCATCAGTATTGCATGAATTCATTTTGTCATCATACTACCACATGACACAGGTGGAGCATTTTTATTATCTCTGTTTCGTGGCTGAGATGCCAAAGCTCTGACAGGTTGAGAGGATAATGGCTCTAGAAGCCCAAGAGGAGGGAGAATTCTATGCCCCATTCTGAGATTCCTCTAGGACTTGGGGGAGGTAAAGCAAATCTCCTCTGCAGCCTTTCCCATCTCCTCTACCCTGCACACACGAACATCATAAACACGCCCAGTTGGGGTCAACCTGGGCTTTTGTCTTTCATGTAGACTCGTCAGGATGCCAAGTGGCTGAGTGTGCAGATGGCGCAGGACGGCCACCAAGTGTCTCTGTTGAGTGGAGAGCTGACCGTGGACCAGCGAGCTTCTGTTCTTCAGAGGTTTCGTGATGGAAAAGAGAAAGTTCTCATAACGACCAATGTCTGTGCACGAGGTGTGTGTATGTGTATATATATTTAAAGTCACATTTATTTAGGTACAATTTACATAAGATAAAATTCACTGCTTTTAAGTATAAAGGTCAGTGAATTTTGACAAGCATATTGAGTCATGTAACCACTACCATAATCAAAATACAGAGCATTGTCATTCCCTTCCGGAACTTCCCTGTGCTTCTGTGCAGTCTCTTCCTTTCATCATCTGGCCTCTGGCAACTATTCATCAGATTTCTGCCTGTACATTTTTGTCTCTTCCAGAATGCCATATAAATTAAATCATACAGTACATAGCCTTTTTGTCTCACTTTTTCCACTTTAACAACACTTTTGAACTCATCAGAACTGTCACATGTACCAGTAGTTCACTAGTTTTTATTGCTGAGCAGTAGTCCTCTGAATGGATGTACCACCGTTAGTTTATCCATTCACCAGTTAATGGACATTTGGATTATTTGGCTTGGGGCTATTTTGAATAAAGCTGTAATAAACATGTAGGTCTTGCATAGACATCTTTTCATCTGGGTGAATACCTAGGAGTAGGATTTCTGGGTTATATGGTAAGTGTGTATTTAGCTTTATAAAAAATTGTTTTCCAAAGTGGCTGAACCATTTTTCATTCCCACCAGCAGTGTAGGAGAGTTCCAGTTGCTCTGCTCCTTGCCAGCAGCTGGTACTGTCACTCTTTTTAATTTTAGCATTCTAGTAGATGTGTGTAGTATCTTGCCATGTGTTTAACTTGTGTTCTCCAATGTCTAATAATGTTGATCATCTCTGAGGTGTTTTTAAATGTTAAAAGTATTGACTACTGGGGAAGAAAATAAGGAGAAGGGCCTTTTAAACTTACTTTGTTCATCCCTTCTGTAGCCTTGCTGTCCCTATACTCCTAGCATGTCTCCTCGTGTGTTCTTACTTCAGCAGATAGAAATGAGGACCTGCTGTGAGTGTGGATGAGGCCCCTGCCCCTCGGGAGCTCACTGCCTACATTCTTGTCTCCCTAGAGCAGGACCATCCAACAGCATTCTCTGCGGTGATGGGAATACACTGTTCTGTGCCATCTGGTTGATAGTCACCAGCCATATGTGGTTGTTGAGCACTTGAAATACGGCTTGTGTAACCACAGAATTAAATGTTTAATTTGAATTTATTTAAGTTAAATAGCCACATGAGGCTAACATTACCCACATCGGACAGCCCAACTCTAGACCTTGGAGGAAAAAGGACACAAAGAGCTCCAGAGTCAAAGTACAGTGCAAGGAGGCCGACGATTATGACCCAGACAGCTTTTCATGCTGAGGGACGGGGACCCTGGGGATCATAGAAGTCTTCCTGGGAAACACGAGAAGTGGCAGGTTTTGAAGGACAGATACAATTCAGTTATATGGGAATTTGCAGTTTGCTTGGGGGTCGGCAAGACTTGTGACTGTGGTGTTGGGATTGAGTCAAGAGACGAGGAGATGAGACATGAGGTAGTTTGGTAGTCATACAAGTCTTAAATCGTACTTTATTCTATACAACTTGGGCAGTTGGGTTCTGAACACAGTTGCTCTGGACATTGCCATGGTGGCTGTCACTGGAGAGATGAGAGGACTAGAAGTCAGGAGGGGAAACCAGTCTGGAAATGGTGCTGGCTGGGGCACGGGATAGAAAGGACCTGACCAGGCGATGGCCATGGACCTGAGTGGGGCTGGGCCTGTGGTGGGTGAGGGAGTGTGAGACTAAGGGGCCTGCTGGGGACTTGGCGTGGCAGGAGAAGGGAAGGGGAGGTGGCTCTGGGGCCCTGGCGAGAGCCCCTCTCCGCAACGCCCGCACACACCCTTTAGGCATATTCAGACTCCCGTAGAATCAGCCTCTCCTGACACTCTTACCTAGCGTCACAGACATACTGTGCAAGCAAACTGCCTGACCAAAGTACCTACTTTAAGTATGTAAGAGCGGGTTTTCTTTATAAATCATGCCTACTCCATGAGAATCCCCTCAGCAAATGTTGTGCATGAATTGCTATGTCCTAAGGAAAACCCTTGCAGGCCCCTACAGTGTCTTTCCTCTTCTAGGGATCGATGTGAAGCAGGTCACAGTTGTTGTGAACTTTGACCTCCCTCTAAACCAAGCACAGGAGCCAGACTACAAGATCTACCTTCACCGCATTGGGCGGACAGGACGCTTTGGGAAAAAAGGCTTTGCCTTCAACATGATTGAAGTGGATAAGCTGCCCCTGCTTATGAAGATCCAGGACCACTTCAGTGAGTAGCATTTTTCTCAGCAGAAACCGCAGGCCTGCCAGTGTTGACGGTGATGATACGTGCCGCGGACCTGAGGCCGGAAGCTTGTGATGGTGTGGGGGCAGGGGCCATGAAGAGGCTTCTCTTTCGTGGTGCCAGAGTTCCTAATATGAGACAGTTGATGTAATAATAATGTGGTAGCTAAAAGTTTTTAAGTCAAGTGGAATTAATATAAGCTCAGGTTGATGTTACTGCTCATTCTGGAATCTGGAGCAGACATTCATGTCCTGTAAAGAGCCACCTTAAGCAAAGTAATAAAGCCCTCGAAGATTATATTCTGTCTTTTATTTACATTTGTCCTTTCTTTCGCCCCACTCTACCAACTAGGACAGTCCCAGATTCTGAGGTCTGCTGTCCTTCCTGCAGCCCCCATCCAAACAAAGCAGGCTGTGAGGACCTGCGGGGGCTCCGGGACTGGCAGCCGGCTCACTGACGGAAGCCGATCAAGGCGACATAACTTGAGATGCCCACCTCTCAGATTTCTCCAGGCTTCAAGCCCCTGTGTGTGGCCAGGGGCAGGGGAAGAGGAACGCTTGAAGGACTCTGAATACGTCTTTCACCTTTTAGGACAGTGGTGCTTAGTCTTTGTGGGAATCAATGGACACTTATCTCTGGGGAAATGCACATAAGACACTGATGCAATTTGGAATATAATTTTTAAAAGTTTGCACACTGACTGTAGTATGTCCACAGACCCTTCAGGAAAGTGGATTAAGTACCCCTGTGCTAGGAGAAATGAGGGAGAGACGGTGGAAGGAGGGAGAACCATGCAGATCCGCTGTGGCTATAGGAAGTTGCTGAAGACCTAGTCCTGGGAAGTGACCTCAGCAAGGGGGCCTTAGTCCCTATGCATTCCCCCGAGCTCAGCCAGGCCCCTTTCTAGGCTCCCTTCCCTTGCACTCTGGCCTTTTTCTTCCCCAAGGTATCTAAACATGTATGTTCTGTTGTCTGGAGCATTTGGTGCTATTCCAGTTAGTATTCATTGATTCTTTTGGTACCATCCCTTCCTCTTCCAGTCTAGAGAATATTCCTTTCTCCAGGCTTTCCATACAAGGTATCACAAGAGCACATGTTTTCAAAAGTGTTACTGTCTTCAGAAATTCAGATTTGCATGGAATGAAATTTCCATTTAGACCCTGGGATAAGACCAGTTCCCTTCTCTTTTGTTCTTTCAGACAGCAATATTAAGCGACTCAACACTGAAGATCTGGACGAAATTGAAAAGATTGAGTTTTGAAGAAACAGCTGTATTGATTGTGAAATGTTCTAGTTTTTGTGAGAATGTCCCAGTTGGTTTTGAAGGTAATTTTTAATGTTGAGGCTTTTTCAAAGTGAAACTGTTACCTATGGCAAAATAAATGTCATCGTTGTCTTAGTTTTAAGACCTGGGGTCTTCTTGAAACCAAATTGATGTGAAGCACATGATCCTTTTGGATAACAAAAGCAAGATTATTTCTTACTGTAATCTTTTTCCAGGTCAAACACCCTTGTGTGGGCTACTGACACGATTTTGGATTTGGTTTATAGAATCCCAGCTGATCATGCCCCTTGTGAAGATCTCCTGGTGCCACAAGATGGCGGTAGAGCTCTACTGTTTTGGAATTGAGCCGGTAGGCCGAAGGAAAAAGCCACGCATCCTCGGACCTCATTCCCAGGCCGCCCCTCTGGCCACTGATGGCCTCCCTCCCTCCCCCTCCCTCCCCGTGCGTGCCTGCTCACGCAGCCCACGTTCTTAGGTGAGCGTGCAAGTTGAAATCTTTAAAAAGTAAAACACTTTAGAAGAGAACATTTTGCTTTTTTAATATTTCAACTGACATACAGAATTTCAAAATATTTTTGTTTAGCTTCTTAATGTCTTCAAATTCGAGAAGATTCAATCCATCACCAGTCATTTAATAGTCTTTGAAAATGGGGCTTTGTTATAGGCATTTCTTAAAGACAAGCAGTGGGTGCAGGGTTAGGGGGAACCCACCTGCCTGATAAAAGACATAGCAGTTCAGGAAGCCAAAAGATTCTGCTTTTAAGCAAATTTAAAGGTATATCTGAGAATTCTGGATGTTTCCCTGCAAGTCCCATTGAGATGCTTTTTATTTTTCACATTTGCTACTAAAAAGTGAAACAGTGGGCCTGAGAAAATGAGGGGGAAATTGATACTCTTCCAGAAAGCTTGAGCAGGTTTTGCAGCCCACAGCCAGAAGCCAGGCCCACCTCTGCCACGCCAGACAACCACTGGCAGCCTCAGTGAATGTCTGCCGTCCTGGCAGGGAAGGGTGGTTTGGGCTTATGTTTTGATATTCTGTGTGCACAGCACCCTGCCCGTGTTTTATCCCCATGAGTAGGGCTCCAGCTTCCTCGCTCCACATGTTTATTATGCACCACATTTATGTTAAAACACCAGGGACAGAAAGATGAATATGACATGTTACAGTCATCTCAGACCTCAAAGAATAATAGCAGGCGCAGAATAAGCCAGGATTATAACAGACGGTGGTAAAGGAACGCACACAGGTTGCTAGTATAGCAGAGGAAGGACCCCTGCACCATCTGGGCTGCTCCCACAGAAGAAGATACTCTGCATCCCCTGTCACAAGAGGGGCATGTGTGTTTACTAGTGTCCTTGATGTGGTGGACTTAGTGCTACCTTGCACACCCCTAACGGATGCACTGAGGCTGCACTGGAGATGCAGCTCATGGCCATGACTATCCAGAGAACTTGAAAAACAACATGCGGATTGCCTCTCCCATAGAGAAAACCCCAACTCTCTGAGGATGGAACCCAGAAATATGCCCTTTATAAGGGAGCTGACAGCATAGGTGAAGCAAGAAGTACTAATGACCCTGTCTTGGGGAGGAGACTGAGGCAAAGGGGAGTGTGCCGAGACAGAATCGGCACAAAGTGAGCTCCCAGCCCTGAATGTCCCGTTGACTTCTCCTTTACCTGAGTGTGAGCAGCTTGTGATCAGTCATCTTGTCCCCTCAATGCCCAGCCCCCAGCACAGTGCCCCAGTATTTGTTCATGTTGATTAAATACTCCTATTTCTTCATTCACTACCATTTTCCACTGGTGCTTTCCATCCTAGTTTTGAACCCCAATTATGTGGCACAGGAAAACTAAGCACAGAAAGGGTATCAAGACACTTGGCTCTCTCATCATGTGAGAATGGAGCTGCCCTTTCCATCGGCACCGGGGTGTTCTGGATCAAACCTTCCCTATTCCCTCTCTGGTTCAGATCTCTGACAGACTCTCTACCAGTTACCCTGGCACATGTCTTCAGTGACTTCTGTTCGGCAGCTGTTCGCATAGGGTCTGCGCAGAGCGGGCGTCCTCCTCCTGTGCCCCCTGCTCACATTCCTTTGTCTTGCCACCCAGGAGGCAGCAGGGCCATCCTGCGCTCTGTGCACCTCAACAGCTGGCTTACCACTAACTGTCAAGTGTCATGAGTCAACTGTCCGCAGGCTCTTTTGCAGAACAGAACTACAAGCAGTTTTCAAGTCTCTGTGCAGACTTGACCAGGGTCCCCTCAGTCGTTGCCGGCCTAAGCAACAAGTGAATGGAGAAGGAAGAGAGAGCCAGAGGATTTCAGGGCCTCTGTGAGCTGGGTTAATCAGCTGTGTATTACTTGGCACAAGATACTAAACCAAATCCATTAGGTTTATCTTGGCCAGCCTAACACTGTTAGCATATTGGAATTCACGATCACATAGGGCTGTGATTCCCAGCAGTTGTGAGTGAACCCTTCGACTGGGGTAGGGCTCCTGTGACGGGAGGTGCCGGGTCTATGGCCGCTGGGAAGAGTGGAACCGAAAGGCGTTGGTCACAGCCTGGTGGGATGTCACACAGTATTATTTTCGGTCGTGAGGGAGTGTCGATCCTCCTCAGCGCAGTTTGGTCCCCGTGAAAGCCACTGGTTGCCACTGTGCATGCCATCAACGGGGGAACGTCTTGAAACAGGATGGTTGGGGGGACGGGCAGCACCTTTCCAGACACTCAGGAGAGAAGCGGGTTGTATTTTGCTTTGGTTTTGCTCGTGGTCCTCTGAGAGGCTGTCTCCTTCCCTTCGATTCAGGAAGGGTCCCAGATCGGAGAAAGGCCCACGCACAGACAGCACACTTGTTGGGATGAAAGCTGAAATGCGAGTTCAGGGCAAGGAGCTCTTGGTGGGCCTGTGCTTCCTCGCCCTCTGAGCTTAAGCACCTGCCTCTGTTCTCCCCAGCTGTTGAGCAGAGAGCCATGCATGCTGACCCGAGGGCATTCGGGGCCCAACAGGTGGGCACATGTTAGAGTCGAGGCCTCTTAAAGCCTATCCCTTTCTCCAGCCCTTGACCGCTCTCAGGAAATCACCATGTGTATTAAAGACCTCATAACAGTGTAATCCAGGGGGGCTGAAGTATCACAGCCTTGCTATATGCTGCAGGGAATGCCAACTTTCTGCTCCCAGAGGAGTCCAAAAAGAGCTCACCCCAGCATTTTCTCCACCGTGTTTTAACCCATGGCTGAGAGCAGAACTCTCCCCCTTAATTCCAGCTGCTGGCCCCTCCTCCTCCAGGGCTGCCACTCACCTCCCCAGGCTAACGTGTTCTCTGGGTTCTGCGTCCTCCCATGTTCTTAGCTCTCCTGTGCACGCTGGCTTTCTAAGAAGGGGTGGGCCCCCCAGGCACTGGTCTTCTCACCCTTCCTCCCTGTCCCGGCCCGCGACGCCTGGCGCCCCTCCCAGGCCGGCTGTCAGAGCCCCTGTCCTCGCCACCACCCTCCTGTGGTCTCCCTTAGTGCTTTGTTTCTTGGTCGGCTCTGGTGCCTTAACAAAATATCACAGACTGGGAGGCTTAAACAACAAAAGTTAATTTTCTTACAGTTCTGGAGGTCTCAAAGTCCAAAGGCAAGTTCAACAGGGTTCAGAGTCTGGTGAGGACCCTTCTGCCTTCTCACTGCGTCTTCACGGGGTAGAGAGAGCGTTTCTGATGCCAAGATCCCACCGTGAGCTCCCACCCTCATGTCCTAACTACCTCCCCAAAGCCTCACCTCCAAAATAACATCACACTGGGGGTTAGGGCTCAGTGTGAATTTGGGGGCTCAACATTGCGCCCCACTCACCAAATACCACTTTGTGATGCATCATTTTAAAACGATCATAACACTTTGCAAATTTTGAAAGTTGAGTGAGTTGAAGCACCATTGTTCGTTTTTAGCATCTTTCCACCCCACCTTTAGACTTTTGACTCTTTCATTGAAACTTTCAGACTCTTCTAATGAAATACAGGAAAAGCACCTGACATGGGATGATTCGTGCTTAAGAGAAACAACAGCATATCCTGAAAACCCACGGGGCCTCCCGCCGCCCATGTCCAACTGCCAGCGCTCCTTCACCAGCTTGTCAGCTTCCACTTTTGCTGACATCAGAGATACCCAGACCCTCTAATATAATAAGAAAGATAGCCCTTCCCCCATATTCAGAAGAACTGAAATAATTTTCTAATGGGAATCTTTAAATATCTAAAGTCTTTAGTCTTTAGAGAGAAACATGGGCAACTATCTGTAGCACTTTTCCTGGGAATTAATCTTCGCCTGTAATTTTCTTCTATTCAGTACAATAGCTATGGGTTTCTATATTCCTATTTCTAGAATATATTTTCTCATAAATGAGGATAGTCTCTTATTTTGAGCTTAGTATTTTTCTTTTGTTAAGAAAATTGGTGCAGTCCTATTCCATCCGGTCTGTTCCTTTTGTGACCTGTGGCTTGAAATCCCGGATGAAAAGAAGTGATTGATGAAGAAGCCCTGATTTTGTGTGAGGTTCAGAGGCATGGTCCTATAATGGCTTCCGGCACGATGCAGAAAACAGAGCCTCAACAGGCTGCTTTGTGAGGCAGTGAGCTCCCCATTTGTGGGAATATTCAATCAGTCAGAAGCATGCATTACAATTATTTGCAGTGGATGCTGTAGTTCTGATTCTCAAATTAGCTGGAATACAGTGATCTCCGAAACTCTGTCCATTCTAAAATGCCATGTTTCCATAACCCCCATGCACCAGAGCTACACACACAGAAGAACATGAGCTTTGCACAGGGGAAGATTGTTTTCCACACACAGAAGTAGTAGAAGCTTTGTACAGGGGAAGATAGTTTTCCACAAATTAGAAGAAACTGTAGAGAATAGCTTCTAACTTCAGCCTGTCTTAACTTTCAGATTCACTGGCTTCTTTCCATGTGACCATCTCTTTACACTGTTCTTCATCACCCTATACAAGGTGTGGATTATTTTTCATTTAATATTTATATTATAATAGTGATAAAACACACAAAAGTAGTTGGGGGAAAAGTATCCAAAATCTCATTATTTCCTAACAAGTTACTGTCTTGAGATAGTCCTTTCCATCCTAATATAACTATTTGTAATTAATCATAGTGCATGTATGTTATGTCTTTTTATTTGAGACATTCACATGTTTTTTCATGTTGCTACCTAGTCTTTGGAGTTATTAAAAATAACTGACCAGATTTTCCAATCAGGTGAATATAATACACTGTATAATAATATCATTTATGTCGTGTCCAGTTTTTCAACATAAATAATGGTGCAGCAAATCTTGCCCACTATTTTGAATTATTTTTAGGATTAGAGATGTTAAGTTTGAATATTAGGTCAAAATCCAGGAGCATTTTTATGGCTTTTGCTAAGATAGTGCCAAAC